AAAATGATGAGATCTATCTCCCATTTCAGTTTGTGCCTTAAAACCTGAATCACCCTGTATAATGATATATCATGAATACCAACTACTATATTTATGAACCTAATCTTTTTATTTTTCCTCTCATATTTTGAGTCAAACATCACAAGTAGAAAATGAAAAAAGGGTATTTATAAGGGTAGGTATTTTAAAAAAAGCAATATTTTTGATATGCAGCAAACTTTTAAAATTGATTTATCTCGAAAATGGTGAGTGATATTGAAACTGAACAAGTGTAATTTTTAAGTGAAAATGATGATATTTTAATTATTCTTGGTCAAACTCCCGAAAATTACATAGAAAAAAAAATTGGGGGAAGAAATGCTCGTAGCCCCACCTATTTTTCACGCCCATGATCAAAATTCCGGAAAATTCTTATCGTTTCCAAATTGCGCATGAAAAGTAATATACCTACCTGTATAAAATTTCGTTATCTCAACACAGTGGGCTTTGGAAATATTTACAAAAAACCATCATCTATCGAGCTCTGGGCTCATGTTCATATGAACTTCTTTTACTATTTCTGTTCCTAGAATCCGTGGTTGAAATCTATCTATGTAATTTCGGGACACCCTGTATATCATTCATATATTATTATCGAAGAAAATATTCAGATCATTTCATTTCGAAAAAAAATCCCTTAGCCAAACTTTATTTTGTTGATATGAGGAAAAAATGAGCATAGATTCTAAAAATTCGTACAAAATGATTCCCGAAAAGATTTTGAATGGTCAAAATATGGTAATTACGAGGATAAAGGTGACACCCTATACATTCATAACTCCAAATCAATTCACCAAATTTGACACATCCATTCAAAATACGAGTTTGGAACTGGGTCATCCGGTATACAGGGGTGTTCATCGAGTATGTAACCAAACTTCAAGATATGATCTTTGAATGACTTAAAGACAAAGTCATAAACTGAAATGGACAGGGTGTGTCAAAAATCCATTTAATGAAATTGGTTTTTCATTAATTTAATTATGTCTAAATTAGCACCTAACCATGCCGAATTTCAGCAAAATTGTGTGAAGGATTTGTACGATATCAAAGAAAAACATTTTTTTGTTTCAATTTGACATCCCTTGAAGATTGGCCTCAATAACACCCTGTATATGTCAAAAGTGAAGTTTCTATAAATTATAGTTACCTGTTTCTTCACCTAATTATTTGATAAAATCCACTGTATTCCATACAATGCTTCTATTTGTGAATAAAATGAAATGAGTGAATTTAATAGGCGAATAAGCAATTATTATCATTAGATCATCATCATCATTAGAAACGTCAATCAAAATATTAATATTAATCATATTTTTCATACCTGAAATAAGTACCCATTCTTTCAATTCATTCTTAATCTAATGGTAACTAGACGAAAAATCATGGCACAAAAATCGATTTAGAAAAATATTTTTGTTCAACCAACACTGAGGGAATAAGTATTGAAAGAATGTACGAATTGAGAGTGAGTCTCAAATTACTATTATCACCATTTTAGGATTTCTTCCATAAAACAATATTATATTTTCTTCCGTGTGAAAAACAAATATTGGAAAAATTATACACTCAACCAGAACATGATTTCTTAATTTTCCTAACATAGCATCATTTTTGGAAAACGAACAAGTGTTGGCACTTTCCAATAGAATAATTCTGGAATTACAAAAAAATTCAATTCATTTAATTTATACACATGGTCCTCGCGAATTATCCCGTATGTTATGCGATGAAGTTTAATTTTTCATTGCATTTATTCAATTTCAAGAAAATTTTTAGTAAACTTTGAAGTGACAATAATTGTCAGTTGAAAATAATAATTGGCAATTTGAATTGACAATTGTCACTTTTAAGTGGCTATTATTGTAAGTTCAAAATGTAAATTGTCAATTCAAAGTGACTGTAGTCAATTCAAAGTAACAATTATCTTCTTAAAGTGGCAATTATTGTCATTTCAAAGTGGCAATTATTGTCATTTCAAAGTGACAATTGTCAGTTTAATGTGAAAACGGTCAGTTCTAAGTGACAATTACCTCTCCACAGAGTGGCTATAATTATTGTCACTTCAAAGTGACAATTGTCACGTTAAAAGTGATAATAGTGAATTTAAAATGACAATTGTCACTTCAAAGTGACAATTGTCACGTTGAAAGTGATAATTGTGAATTTAAAATGACAATTGTCACTTCTAAGTGGCTATTATTGTCAGTTCGAAATGAAAATTCTCAGTTCATAGTGACTGTAGTCAATGCAATGTGATAATTGTCTTCTTAAAGTGACAATTATTGTCATTTCAAAGTGACAATTGTCAGTTTAATGTTAAAACGGTGACAATTATCTCTCCACAAAGTAGCAATTGTCAATTCAGAATGATAATTGTCTCTTCAGAGTGGCTATAATTGTCATTTCAGTGACAATTGTCACGTTAAAAGTGATAATTGTCAATTTAAAATGACAATCGTCACTTCTAAGTGGCTATTATTGTCAGTTCGAAATGGAAATTCTCAGTTCAAAGTGACTGTAGTCAATTCAATGTGATAATTGTCTTCTTAAAGTGGCAATTATTGTCATTTCAAAGTTAAAATTGTCACTTTAAAGTGGAAACGGTCAGTTCAAAGTGACAATTGTCACTTCAAAATTCACTTACATGTTGCATAAAACATTCAGAGAGAAACCATTGAAGACCCATTTTTCTAAACTAATTTTCCCCACCGAGTTTGATAAATACTAAATTATTTGTGCGACCTAACCAACAATGCATTATAAATATTCACAGAGTGTCATATTTCTAATGGCTTTCTCTGCTTAGCTCTTTATATCCTTGTCATTAATGAGATTCCCATGAAAATTTGAAACTGGTCACATTGATTTCATTTGTAAATAAACCAAATTTGGTTGATATCACTAGACTAGTAACTGGAATGAAGAAAAAATTCCAAAGTAAGACTGACTGTTTAGAAATAAAAACTGAATATACAGGGTGTCCCAAAATTTCTAGGACACGGAGCTATCATGTGTAGCAGAGGTCAAAATAAGTTGATTGAACTCAATTTATTTATATTCCACAATACAGTGTGTCCCACTTACGGCACTTACCATGCTCACCATGGGTATCTTTTTAACGGTGAGAGATACGAGGTCGGTTAAATGACACCAAATGTGGAGTTTGTCAAGGCCAACTATAATGTGAAAAAATATTTTGATAAAATCTATTCGTTTTTGTTTTATACGCAAAAAACAGATTTTGATCATTTTCATGTCTCCTCCGTAACTTCTTTATTTATGAAAATATTCAAATAGGAATTTCACATTCTCATGGCAGTTTATCAAAGTGATTTCGAGAAAAATATGAAATTTATACCAACTCTTCTAGAATTTGAGATATCAGCACCAACTTTAGTCTTTCAAATTTAGGTCATAGCTCACTATGACTTAGTAACAAATAACTTTTTTTTTCTCTTACAGATGATATGTCGCAGTAGTAGATTTGTGTTGATAACAACGGAGTTATCGTCATTTATACAAAAACAAAAAATTATTTGGAAGCCGCCGTCTTGAATTTATAAATTTTAACAAAAAAAATATCATGATCTCCGACCTCAAAAACCCCCACTCACCAATTTTGAATGGAATCGAACCAAATCTTGTCCGCCATCTTGGAGCAGCCATTTTTTTTAATTTCAACAAAAATTCCATAATGTATTGTCACCGGATTTACGAATATCTGCCAAATTTCAAGTTGATAGGACGGCCAGAAGTGAGTCAAAATTCACTTCCAACATTTGTTGAAATTAAAAAAAAATGGCTGCTCCAAGATGGCGGACAAGATTTGGTCCGATCCCATTCAAAATTGGTAAGTGGGGGTTTTTGAGGTCGGAGATCATAATTTTTTCGTTGAAATTTATAAATTCAAGATGGCGGCTTCCAAATAATTTTTTGTTTTTGTATAAATGACGATAACTCCGTTGTTATCAACACGAAACTATTACTGCGACACATCATCTGTAAGAGAGAAAAAAGTTATTTGTAACTAAGTCATAGTGAGCTATGACCTACATTTGAAAAACTAAAGTTGGTGCTGATATCACAAATTCTAGAAGAGTTGGTATAAATTTCATATTTTTTTCGAAATCACTTTGAAAAACTGCCATGAGAATCTGAAATTCCTATTTAAATATTTTCATAAATAAAGAAGTTAGGGAGGAGACATGAAAATGATCAAAATCTGTTTTTTGCGTATAAAACAAAAACGAATAGATTTTATCAAAATATTTTTTCACATTATAGTTGGCCTTGACAAACTCCACATTTGGTGTCATTTAACCGACCTCGTATCTCTCACCGTTAAAAAGATACCCATGGTGAGCATGGTAAGTGGGACACACTGTATATCATTCAACCCTGGGAGGAGCAGTAAGTTTACATAAAAAACAGGTGCATTTAAATTTTTTACGTCGAATTGATGAAGGTGTTCGTCATATTGAATATTTATTATAAAAACGTTCTGCCTTTGTCAACTAAATTTGGTATTAGAGCGTTATTAAACTTGTACTATGGATATCTGGTTAGCATTATTAAATAAAACTTTTTTTTTCCTTCGGAAATATGGAGAGCACGAAGTTTTTACAATAGTAAGGAATCGAAGATAATTTATCTGTCTTATCGTTAAAAACCGTATTACCACTATTACCTTCTACAATTTCTTTTGGTTTCATTTGATTACTATTCTCTAATTCTCTAAAATGCACTTTTGTCAAATTTCAGTAAATTTGTTTCACTCATTTCTGAGAAATGGGGTCCAACCAACCTATTTTGACACCTCTATTACACGTGGCATCTCTGCGTCACTGCAATGTTGGGACACCCTGTATATCTTTCACTCTCAAATCTAATCGAGTCAATATTTATTCACAATCAATTTCTATCCTTGAATCCCCATAATAAAGCATTTTTTTTTCCTTATGTGTCACAGATAAGTAGTCATCTTCAAGATAAGCATTTTAAACTATCCCTCACCCTCGAGGATAATTCATGTATGTACATCTCAATTTAAACATACGATAACATTTTCATCGCCCCTTGTATCACCATCCACACATTTTCCCAACAAATCAGGTACCACCTTTTTTTTCATATAAATAATCTCTACGAATACCCCTCCTGCGGGCACCGCTATCACATGGTCTGTTGCCTGGTCTCCTCCACGGCACTCTCTTGGCTATCGGGCGTCGTATACAGGATGTTCGCCGAAATTATAATCGGATATTCGACGTCTTTGTCGAGCGTCATTATTTGGATTTCTTCGCCTTTCGTCAATGGGACCTTCATGATTTCCGATGTTTTCGTATAGACGATTTGCCGCTGTTCGTTCAACTTGACGACCGTCACCCTGAAAATAATAGAATGTTTTGTCACCGAAATTATGAACACCTGCCAAGTTTCAAGTTAATCGGAGTTATGGAATTTTTGTTGAAATTGAAAAAAATGGCTGCTCCAAGATGGCGGACAAGATTTGGTCCGATTCCATTCAAAATTGGTAAGTGGGGGTTTTTGAGGTCGGAGATGATGATTTTTTTGTTAAAATTCATAAATTCAAGATGGCGGCTTCCAAATAATTTTTTGTTTTTGTATAAATGACGATAACTCCGTTGTTATCAACACAAAACTATTACTGCGACATATCATCTGTAAGAGAAAAAAGTTATTTGTAACTAAGTCATAGTAAGCTATGAGCTACATTTGAAAAACTAAAGTTGGTGCTGATATCTCAAATTCTAGAAGAGTTGGTATAAATTTCGTATTTTTTTCGAAATCACTTTGAAAAACTGCCAAGAGAATGTGAAATTCCTATTTGAATATTTTCATAAATAAATAAGTTGCCGAGGAGACATGAAAATGATCAAAATCTGTTTATTGCGTATAAAACAAAACCGAATAGATTTTATCGAAATATTTTTTCACATTATAGTTGGCCTTGACAAACTCCACATTTGGTGTCATTTAACCGACCTCGTATCTCTCACCGTTAAAAAGATACCCATGGTGAGCATGGTAAGTGGGACACACTGTATATACACTGTTGATGGCTTTTGTTGTGCTATAGTTCCGAAAAATGAGTCAATAATACCGTCTCCGAGAAAGAACTGCAAGTCCTTTTATCTTCCATTCGACTTCGCGGTTACGTATATTACTAAACAACCACTAAATTCACAATTTTTTGAAATCAAATCACAGAATTAGACTGACAGAAGTGACATCAGATATTTGATTACTTCAAAAGAATGATAAAGATGCCTACAACGCAAGTGTCCCTACTGTTAAAAACTTATCTTCTCAATATTGATTCGTCCTTTCTTCTGTCACAGAAAAAAATAGTGTATTATACACTGGACAAATATTAGATTTTAGCTCACGGTTTTCTGTCACGGTAGACAACACAACCTGGAGCTAAAATCTACTACTTTTCTCCCTTGTATAATAAACAACTATTTTGGTATCAAATTTTCATAAAAACCCGTTTTTTAAATTGGTCAATGCAATTATGCCCTCTAGCGGCTGTCCTGGAAACTTGAAAATAATTTCCAGAGATTTATCTTGGCCACTTTTATCATAAATATTATTTTCCGAAACCTGTGCGGCAAATAGTTTCCGAGATACAGCCGGCGTCCTTTCTTAATGGTACACCCGGTACATTCTGAATCTATTCTGAATATACAGAGTGACTATTTGAAAGCGAGCCACCCTCATACATTTGTCATTTATGAAGCGATTGACACGATTTTGTTTTAAAGTTAGAGAGGAAAAGTGTATTTCGGAGCTGAGCGCCGTCTATTTTCTCTTGAAACCAAGGCCTACTAGATCACAATCAGAGGCTGAAAAATCCAGAATCCATATTAGTGACATTTTTTCAAAAAATAAATCCACGTACACCACTGGAATCGGCGTCCTTTGAAATAAGTCTGTATCTAGGATTACCATCGATATAATCTATTTTTCAGGAACATACGTCCTTCTGGACAGTGCAGTGAGTTTTTAATAAAATGAAAAGGGGTCAATTTTTCATGAAATAAGATTTTTTTCACAGGAAAACTGACTTCATGATTTCAAATCCCCATATGTAAATTTTTATATTATTTCTATGAAGGGGTTCGAAAAAACAGGCACATCTGAACAGCATTTTGAAGAACTGTCAGATGACCGACCATGGAGGAACAACATTGAAACACAACTTCACTTTTCTTATTTGTTTACAAGTGATTGAAATAGTATTTCACAATTATTTTGGCAAACGAATCGTATTTTTCGGCTATTCATTAATTCGCTCATGCCATCACATTGTGCTGTTGTACAATGCACAAAAACTGCAGCAGAAGACGAAGGAATCCTGTTGGTACATTATGATATTAAAGTAAGTACCCACTATAGTAGTAGTAGACAAGAGTCTCGAGATCATACCCGTGTGTTCACCGAACACGCCCGATCGTTCCCTAAGCGGAGGGGAGGAAACGTAAACGGGCAGCAGTAACTACGTTATGAATATTGGCGCGTGCCTGAATTATTTTGGAGTCAAATTTGTCAATTTAATGTACTTCGAAACGGAACACTAGTAGTTGTGCCTTCTTGTTTTACATATATTATAGGTAGACATCAAATCAATAAACATAGTGCTCTCGCCATCGGTATTTGCTGAACTTCGCTATGGGAAAAATGTTGGGATGAAGAATGATCTATACAGGGTGTATCTAAATAACACCGAAATAATTCAAGGGATGATTCCTTGTGATATATGTAATATGATGAATAAAGGTCATATAAACATGTGTCCTAAACTTGCTTCGTTTTCGAGGTACAGGGTTACGTCCTGATTTCGAATCCGAAGTGATTTTTAACCTATATCTTGCCTCCTAATATCATTTTCCGGAAATGTTGGTGGGTCCATGACCAGAGCAGTGTTTTTCACTGAAGATTACCTCACTTTGGTCATTGGTATATATATCTATCGCTCCTTAAAATTGAACAGTTACGTTAGATATACGGGTTGATATTCCATTATAGAAGTGACATGCACACTGTTTATATTTTTAAATACATCCAGTGGGATTGAATTTTATTTTATGTTGAATATTAGAGTGTGTTTTTTTATGTGATATATTTGTTTTGTTCATTTCAAATATATATTTTTTTAGTAGGCATACTAGTACTTCTTTTATATAATTCTGAAATCTGATCCACCCTGTATTTGTTTCAATTAAATGGCATCAGTAGATAGTAAATAGAATGTTACGACAAATCAATATAGGTATTGTATAAAGTTTCGATACAAAAAAAATCTTGATTTTTCACATTCTACGTATAGGTACCTTGAGCTTGATCAACGAAATCATAGCTCAATTAGAAGAATCGAAAAATGTAATAAAATATAAGGTGTTCCATTTTGAATAACAAAGCTGCTACTACTATATACTACTAAGTACTACATAACTACTAATAATAATTTCTAGTGAAGCAGATGAACATTATCGAAAATAATTTGAATAAAAACGAGCGTCCTCGCTAACAAAACATAAGCATACATAATATGTACATATAGTTTCATGATTTTCGATGAGTGATTCGCTATTTACATGTAGGACTCGTCGTGACATAGCCTCGGACATAGCGAATTATTGCGAATCAAATCATCGCTTTCATTATATGATAGGTCGCAGTAGATCACTTGATGCCTAACAAATGTTTCTTATTTATTCGGAAAAAAAAAATGTTGAAATGTGATCAAGAAAACTGTTGGTGGCCCACCCCGTACTACAAAAACAAAGACAGCATGAGAGAAGCTGCCTGCCCACTCATTGTATCATGACTGCCTGCTTACGTCTCGGTCTCCCCACCGCTTACGGTAACCGGTAACGATCGAGCGTGTTCGGTGAACACACGGGTATGATCTCGAGACTCTTGTTAGTAGTAGTAGTATTATTGTGGGGAGGCTGTAGCCAGGCAAGTAGGCCCCCATGGGCCCTTTTTGCCAACCCCTGCTCTCCACATATCTACACATCCCTCTTTTAGTTGTCCTTTTCGAACCTTCCCGTCCTTCTGATGAAGGTCAGGATGTCCGTCCACTCTAATTCGACCAAATCTTCCTGTTGTAGTTTATCTGCTCCAAAGATTTCGAATCTCATCCTTCCATACGCCACACACTCTCCGAGGAAGTGAAGTGATGTCTCCTCATCTTCTCTGCATTCACGGCAAGTGGGACTATCTTCCACACCTATGAGTGATAGGTGTCTGCGTAACCTGTTGTGCCCTGTCAGTACCCCTATAAGAAGGCGCAGGACTTGGCGATCCCTGCCCAGTAACCAAACCGTCTTTGGCTTGCTTGGACCGGCCACCAGGTCTCTCGATTGCCTGCAGCCGCCTATACGCCTCCAATATCCTTCTAGTGCCTGGTCCGCCCATTTGTTAAGGGCAGACGAAGTTTGGCTTCTTGTTATGCCCAGTGCAGGCCCCGGTCCCCAGAACGGTGTCGCGGATCCTATTCTAGCCAGCTCGTCGGCCCATCGTTCCCGGGCACCCCCCTGCGACCCAGAACCCATACTAGTTCGACTTCCTTCAGTTCACCTAGTTTCTCAAGAGCATCGCCACATTCCTGCACCAAAGCTGAGCTTGTGTGTCAATCAGTTCAGAATGAAAGAATATCATTCTTATTAGCTTCCCAACCTCATATTATATTATATCAAGGTTAGAATGCCCTTCTTCTCATTTTTCGCGTTACCACACCATCCACATCCATTCCTCTTACCTGATGGCAACATGCCTGGACGCCTGCATGCTCAACAGCTGCTCGAACTCCGACCGGTGGTTCCGTTTGATCGACAGCGTGACGCCGTCGGTGATCATGAGCAGATCGACGCCGAAATGGAAGCCCGTCCATCGCCACACGTGACGCTCGTTCAACGTCAACAGGCGGCCGCATCGCAGGCTGGTCGCGAGGAATGTGTCGTCGGAGATTTCGTTCGGTCTGGAACAAATTTCGATCGTTCTGACCGGAGCCTATTCTGTCTGGAAATTATTTGTTCAATAAATTGTTCTATCCGTCATTCGGTTGCCCCCTTACGCAGTGCCCCTTACGCCGGGGGCTAACTTTTACGATGCCGCCGCCAAATATTTAATTTTCAATTATCAGTTTCAAAATTCAAATACTACTTCTTTAACAGCATATAAAAATAACATGAAATCGTTTTTTACAACGAATCAAATTATATTTACTTCACACGTTAAGCATAACAACAAACAACAAATATTTTTTTCTGCAACCGACACAAAAGTCGTCCATTTTGATACCAAAATTAGCTCTTAAATTGACGTTTCTATTACTGACACAAAAATAGGTATGTTGCTAGGCAACATATTTAGTTCCTAGGAGTTAAAGTTGAACTTTAGCTCCTAGGAACTAAAAAGGATGTACTGGACGTCATCGAGAATGAACAACATTGTGACGGTTGGTTATTTGGGTTGAGACGCATACCTGATTTGTTTCCGATTTCAGCAGATTTGGCACATCATAGCCATGCTGGAGATATAAATACACCTTATTATAAAAGTTTGGTATTGAAATTAATTATTAACATCTCAGTTAAGTATTTTTGTTTTGATCAGGGAAGCCTTCAAGATTCAGATACTTGCTTGATCTGTATTTCATTCGTTATTCTCGGGATGGATAACTTGTTTTTGAATAATCACGGCAAGCAATCGGTTTTTTGTCTCAAACAACGATGTTGTTTAGCTTCATTTGATTATCAAGTCAAACACAGTGTAGTATGGAGAGGAATAAATAATCACTATTATCATTGTTGATATGTTCACTAACCTAACATTTTCCACGTCCTGTTCCTATAGCTGGCACTGGCGCGGTATTTGCCATTAGAGCACCTGGTCCATACACAAATATGTCACTCTGTGGTTGTATTTATATTGAAACTACAATTCGAACATCCTAGAAAACCTAACCTGCTGTTAATGCAGGTAGAATATTCTCACTACATGGATTATTTGTCAATATTTGTTGCATTGCATACATATGGCACGGCATTGGTGGTTACTTCACATGTTCATTTGAGTTAATTGTTTCGGTTGCAGAAAAAATAGCATGTTTCATTCGGATCAAAAGTGACTTTGTTCGACTCGCAAATTTTGCTTTCGCTCGGCTTCGCTAAACGCTCCGCCTCGCAAATGCAAAATTCGCTTGTCAAACAAAGTGTCACTTTTGATCCTAATAAAACAATCTACTATTTTTCAGATGAATACTAAAATACTTTTCTTGATTTTTTTGATGCAAAGTCGTCAGTGGCATCATCAAAATTCAGATTTAATAACATGTCACTGTTAATATTTGAAAATGATAAGATATTCAATATATCCTCTACCATGGAATTCCTAAGTAAGTTTTTCACTCTTTTTAAAGTTGAGGATGACCTTTCACTACTGGCATTACTAATCATCAGGGATAGTAAAAAAATTCTAAGTAATTGTCCATAATCAATGAATTAGGAATTTGTTGTGATTATCCCTAAAACAACACCTAGTCGTGTTCATATTTCGATCATTTATTTTTGAGATTCTAACTCTTCTTTTTCGCGTATTGAATGTAAAAAAATATAAAACTTACCATTCCCGTCTTGAGATCGTGAGGTTCTCGGAGACGGTTATTCTGTCAGTTCTGATTCTGTCTCATTTGAATTTAGAAAAAATGAATGTATTTTAGAGCATTTCTTGACAATTTCGTCTAACTGCTTTTGTTTATTGATCTTCTGTCGTTTCCAGAATACACCACCTTCTTTTTTACGCATTTTTTTTTTAAATTTCAGTTTCAATATTTATTATTAGTACCATTACCAACGACAACCTATTAAATACTGAACTCTGATTTTGTTTTTTGTTATTGAGTTAGACGAATCACGAAATACCCCTACTCTACTGGGTCGAAGGCGGTTTTTCTTCACATCATCTTATAAAAGTATGTACCGCCGCCGCTTTTGTATTGTAGCGTCCAAGAAACAACTGACGCTAGATTAGTGCATCTTATGATTTTCACAAAAACAGTATCTCAACCAGTCAATGACTGTATTGCTGCTTGTTTTTCCTCTTTTCTCTTTTTCTCTACCGCCTCTTGAAATTCACCGCCGGGGGCTGATAGTCCCATAGCCCCCCCCTAAATCCGGCACTGCCCTTACGAGCAGCCCTCAGAAGTCTTCGAGAGTCTTGTGCGAGCAAGGAATGACGGGGGCCTTACCTTTTAACGTGTCATTCCAAACATTTTCTTGAGCCATGAGTAAAATTTCTGCAGTCGATGGGAATCGAACCCACGACCGGCAAGCGAATGCGGATTAGAATATTGACACTCTGTCCGCACGGTTACCGGTTAGCCCCCGGTATAATATAATAAATAAATAAAATAAAATCTACCGATGGATATAAAATCGGTATTTATATATTGAAGGTGCAAAGGTAGAGTTCAGCCGGTAGTTAGGACATTTTGGTGGCGACCAGCCGGACGCTCTCAGGGCGTTTTTCAACCGCTGCCGGCAGACCACCATCTTTTTTAATTGTAAAAACTTCATAAACAATAAGATAGGATAAGAAAATTCTCAAACACACAACATGTTTCGCTAACACAGTAGCTTCGTCAGGTGATACACTGGTACAATGAACTAAACCAACGTTGGCTTGCTCATGCTTGCTTAACTTTTATATATTCTACTTTCCCGACTTGAACGATTAGTTACTTGTGAACAGGTTCGATAAACCTTCATTTTCGGAAATTAGGCACAATATCTACATTAAAATACGGTGTACCGGATTAACTTGAAAGGGTTGATAGCAAATGAATATTATTACCTACTAAGAAAACAAATTCAACAGTGGTGAACTATTGAGGTCTAATTGATCGTTGAGTAAAATGTCAAAATTTTTGAGTTTGTTGATTTCCAATCCACTCCGTGGCCGAGTTTGTCTATGCGCTGAAATTCGCTAGATAGCCGTTCACGATGCAGAGGTACTGTCGGTTCGAATCCGGCTGTCGCCTGAGCATTTTTCATTAAAATGTGTGATTCATGGTTGTAATCCTGGCAGAACCTCGATGCCCTAGAAGTGGTTCGGATTCCACTATAAGCCCCGCTCATCCTAACCCCGCACAAGTTTCGACTTCTGGGGAGTTGGTAACTTTGAAGTAGCGATATACAAATTTTACAAAAATTTACAAAAAAATGATTCAAAATGATTTGAGTTTCCTTCATTTTCTACAAATAGAATTTCGAAATTCGAAACATGTCCTTTTGTTCATGACCGTTGGTTATTATTAAATTGTTTTTGTGGTGGAGTTGTGACTGTTAAGTTCTTTCACCCCTCCTGATCACCTTTTTTTGTGTTCTGGTTCCCACGAAAAGGGATATCCTGTAATGTTCAGAGAACATCGGGAGAACCAAGGGAAATAAGGTAGGAATTGGTGTTCTTCTTGAATTTCTGGATGTTATATGCCTCCGGAAACACCTCCCTTGGCAATGTGTTCCAGAGTCTCGCTGTTCATTGGATGAACGAGTCTTTGGCAAGAGATGTTCTGCAGGTCTCTAAAGTGACCACGAAGGGGTGCGAAGCCTCATCTCGATGGGTTAATCTCGCGGGGACTGCCAAGGGAATAACAATTGTTGATATCTCAGAAGAGCATCGTCCATGAAAATATCTATAAAATAGAGCCTGATCGCCAACTTTTCTACGGTGTTCCAGAAAAGTGAGTGAGTTTGTGAGCGAGGCATCACCCACGAGACGAATTGCCCTTTTTTAACAGAATCCAACAGTTTCAGGGTATGTTTGGGTGCTGCACTCCAAATATGGGAGCAGTATTCCAGGACAGGTCGGATCTGTGCCTTATATATCCTAAGCATCTGACTGGAAGTGAAATTAGCTTCTGGCCCGAAACAGAAAACCAAGTTTTTGGGATGCACTTTTAGCAATTGAACTCACGTGATTTTCCCAAGAAAGGTTATTGCTGATAGTAATACCAAGCATCAAAATGGATGTCTTCAAAGGTATGGTTACTCCTGACAAGCTTATGTTGGGCACAGTGAGATCAGCTTTTCTAGAGAAAAGGCATGCTTGTGTTTTGTTTGCATTGAAATCTACCAAGTTATTGGATCCCCATTTGAGATTTGTTGCCAAGTCCATATTTAGTTGTCAACATTTCTTCCTCGTTCGTTTCTGATTTGGCTGGCTGGTATTGGAGCCCTGAAAGAGAAGGCGGTATGGATGGTACTATCATCCGCGAAGATGAGTACTGGACATAAAGTCGCCTCCAACAAATCGTTGATATGGAGTAGAAATAGTGTTGGTGCTAGAATTGATCCTTGCGGAACACCAGCATTTATGATAAGAGAGTCAGATGAAACTCCGTCGGCCACTAAATGGAGAGACCTGTTTGAGAGAAAACTAGCTAGCAGAGAACATAGCTGGGGAGGCAAGCCATAAGATGGAAGCTTGGCGAGGAGTCCGTGGTGCCAGACTCGATCGAATGCCTTGGAGATATCAAGTGCCACGGCTAAGGTATCACCATATTTTTCAATAGATTACTGCCATATATGTGAGACGTAAGCGAGCAGGTCACCAGTTGATCAATGATGACGGAAGCCATATTGCCTATCATTGATAATACCTGAATGTTCCAGGTATTTCATGAGCTCGATGTTGATAGCTTTCTCCATGATCTTTGAAATCAGTAGCAGTGCGATCGGTCTGCAATTGCTAGGTAGGGTCTTTTTGCCTTTTTTAGGAACTGGTTGTACTCTTGCAATTTTCCAGTTGGACGGGAATATCCCCAATTTGAAAGAGTAGTTGAACAACTTGCAGAGAACAGGTGTTAGTTCGGGAGCACATTTCTTGAGAACAATCGGTGGGATTCCGTCGGAGCCACAATCTTTGTTGGTGTTGAGACCCAATAAAATCTGCCTTATAGTACGTTGGCGAAAGGTGATCTCGGGCATATGACGCTAGCAATGTCAATAAAACGAAACTAAACAATCATCCTCACACAATGACATACCCCTTATCGTCATTTTGGTTGACTCTGAGAATATTCTTCCACTCTTGCAATATCACAGGGTCCAGCCATATTTGAGGAATGATGTTGTCTCTCAACACCAACAAGACGTCCAGGTGATGGGAAATGAGATTCTGCAACCTGAGCCCTTTGAATACTGGTATGAATCGTCTCCCTTCGGCAGTCAACAGATATGCCAATTTATCTGAAAAAAAAGGAAAAGTTTACTGAAAAGTAATGGAGAAGGTGAGAAATGCAGATAATAGTTTTTACAGCTGAGGTTTTTTTGAAATTTGGGGCTAAATCATTTAAAAAAATCGGAAATGCTACACTCGACCCAAAACATACTTCAGACATGCCAGATGTACTTGAATCTAGCGTCAATGGGTTACCTAGTTTCGCCTACATATGTTGCCGAAGGTTGAAAGGTGGTTACACTGTACCTGGACCCAATTCCAACAAATTTCAACTCACCTTTCCTGGTGCTAAAGTACTCGTTGCTATTAGACTGCCCGGTACCAGTAGTGACAGATTTTTTGCAACGATTATGAAATGTATGCAACTTTCATGTAATGATTTTCAACTATTTTCAACATGTCCTAGAAAACTATCAGTTTGTGTCACCAATCAAATTTTAATACGTATTGAAAATGGATGTTTTTGAACGATTAGAAAATGCATGAAAATTGGTTGTTGTTGAAATTTGAAAAAAATTATACCACGGAAGAAATTTGCATACTCTGACCTCGTGTAGGAAGACCTGAAACCATTAACTGAACATGTATTGAAGAGGGGGTTTCTTCTGAACAATTATTCAACGTATGCATTTCCGCAGACTTATTTTCTGTGTTACTTGGATCATGATAAGATGTTTTGCATACAATTTTAACGTGCACATGTGCTGTAGTGATATTTTAAGAATGCACTGTTTTTTGTTATCACAATAATGTTACTTCAGGTAGTCTTGAGTGATGCTCTGTATCCTTTGTGGAGAACCTGACAGTCTTGAAGGTTTGATTTGAATAGATACGGCTCGAAGGACCAATATGTTCGATGCTTGATAGATATAGTGGACTTTATTTGTATGGTTATATGATATATGATGATGAAAATACGGTTGATAATAGAATTGCAATTATTGATTTTCTGATGAATCTTACCATTTCAACAACACGGAGTCATGTTAACAACAAATGAAAATCCAAGTACCAAACTATTATATATAGGGTCATACAAGTACTAAACAGACAGGAAGACAAATGTTGGGTCAATGAACAGACAATTTTATACTTCTCGTCTACTAACTAGGTTTTTTCATTTAGAAAAACAAAGGTTAGGCGGTGCTTAAACCCAATTCCAGCAAAATTGAACTCACCTTTCCTGGTGCTGAAGTACTCGTTGACCGTGGCAATGGACGGTTCCCCGTTATCGGGAAACACCAGCACGTAGATCCAGTACTTTAGCATAACATATACCGAGTACTCGGTCTGGATGACGAACAGATCGGGATGCGACACCAGCCTGGCCATGAGAGACACGGGGATGGTTTTTAGTTCGGCCAGGGGGTGGGAGAAATAGTAGGGCATCAGGTTGACCAGGAACCATTTGAAGCAGCTGTCTTCCAGTTTTTTGTCGCCGTACTGGCAGGCGGCGTTGTAATAGTCCAGGGAGGTCTGGAATCAGGGGCAGGATCAAGGATTTTTGCCACCTTTTTCCATTTCCGTTACCCTTGTAGACCGTTGGACCATAACACTAGGGCTGTCGATTATCCTACGAAGGTCCTTTCAAGGGACATGAAGATTGAGTTGGATTATCGGGAAAAAAGTGGTTAGTTGGATTGGTACCCGGTCGCCCATCTCTCTAATCAATCAACTTCCTGTTGAAAGTAATGTTGAAAATTGTATTATAGAAGGAGCTTTAAAATTCATTGGAATAGTCGCATCTCGCCAAATTAACCGGGCGCTAGCCGATTTGCATACGTCTAGGTCGGTCCCGAAGGGCGGCATACGGACCGCAAGTTACCATTAACCAACATTTCTCTCAGATTATTTACGATGGTATGCCCTTTGGTTAATTCCTTCATTTCGACCCATGAATCAATGCCATAACATTTGCATACAGTTTGGGTGGGCGAATTTAGACTTATTCGAAGGTCACTTTACATCATTGACCTGTATGTACAAGATTATCTACGAAGCTCCCAAATTTTGATCAAGGTTAGTTAAGCATAAACTATGCATGGAATAATGATTTGCATACGATTTGCGAGTTGCGGGGATTACATTTAGCCCAGTAAAATTAGCAAAAATGGCGGCAAAATTCGTTCAACACCCTGTAAGAGCTCAAGATATCGACAATCAAATTCTTTCTAACTTTAGAACTTACACAAAACTCGTCCCGATTTACCCGTTTCGAGTTATTCGAGGTCGAAGTTTCGAAAATCATTTATATCACGCGGTATATGGCTGTCTCTCTGACAATCACTGACCACCTGCTGTCCTGTCGTCCTTATATATCAGATGATTTGGCTGGCATTTGTCGGTACCCTTCTTTTGTTCTCGAAGCTTCTCATAGAAAAGTATCTCTCTCTCTCTAATAGTTCCATCGATTGTTTTGAGATGTTTCTGTCGCTGCGACACATATTGGGTGTTCGAAAATATGCTGATTCATGTTAGAATTATTGGGATACTCGGGAACAATCTGATACGCGTGATACAGGAAGATCGTTATACGCCTTCTTGATGATGTTCGAGCCCCTCTCAGGGGAATATTACAATATCGTTCATGAAAATAACAAAAAACATGGGATCCAAGATTGATCCTTTAGGAACTCCCATTGTAACTCCAAGAGGATCAGATTCATAGAATCCAACAAGACTATCTGCCGGTTCTGCAAATGAGATGCGCCCCCTGACATCCCCCCTATAGAGTCATCCTCTATCATCCCCGGCCCCCGGCACTAGTAGTAGGTGCCAGATTCGAGCTTAGTGACCCCGAAACCTCCCAGAGCCCTTGGCACTCGATCATCCTGGAATTTCCAGTTTCAACTTTTTAATATTAGAAAAACTGAAAAAAATAGACTCCCTATAGCAAAATCGACGTATGCTCACAATACATTCGTATGCAAACGCTATGTTCTTATTCACTATAACTGAATCTATCACCTGATTGAATGGCATACAAAATTATATAATCTTGATATATATAATCGATGATGTAAAGTAACCTTCGAATGTCTAAATTCGCCCACCCAAACTGTATGCAAATGTTATGGCATTGATTCATGGGTCGAAATGAAGGAATTAACCAAAGGGCATACCATCGTAAATAATCTAAGAGAAATGTCGGTTAATGGTAACTTGCGGTCCGTATGCCGCCCTTCGGGACCGACCTAGACGTATGCAAATCGGCTAGCGCCCGGTTAATTTGGCGAGATGCGACTATTCCAATGAATTTTAAAGCTTCTTCTATAATACAATTTTCAACATTACTTTCAACAGGAAGTTGATTGATTAGGGAGATGGGCGACCGGGTACCAATCCAACTAACCACTTTTTTCCCGATAATTCAACTCAATCTTCATGTCCCTTGAAGGGCATACCTTCGTAGATGATCGACACCCCTAGTGTTATGGGCCAACGGTCTATTGAGGTGTTGTCGAATTTGAGACATCGTTTTCAACAGGATGTAGAACTCTTTTTTTTTATAATTCAGTGAGCGATAGATTTTCCAGAGGTATTCAATGGCATAGTAGTTTATACACGCTTCAGTAGCAGGAGTTGCATGCGATCACGATTTTGTTTTGAGAAAATAAAAAAATCTATTCGTGTCAAGTGGCACTTCATCTCCAGAATTAGCGGGCGTAAAGTAGCATTTTAGCGCCCTAGAGCTATGTATTTCGGGAGTAACTTGCTTTTATGAACCTAGGCGTGTTTCCCTTGGTATCGCTCCGACTCTTACTCACACGCTGCAGTCCATGTAAGCCTACTTTACGCCCTTGGTAGGATAGGTACAGGGTGATTCACCATAAATGTCCCCCCTCCTCTAGCTTACTTATTTTTGAACCGATTTCAAAATTTGAAATATCATCTTGAATGATTTTCGATACAGTTTTTTTTTTTCGCTTCATCAGAAATGCTCGGAACAAACGATCTACAGGGTACTATTTTATTTTTTAAATGGAACAGCCTATTTTCATTGAATTTTTAGATTCTCCCTGAAGAGCTGATTTGATCAATTCATCACACTTGGGGTCTAGCGGGAATGATTACAGAGATATAGGGTGTTCAAAATCGAGATTTTTCAACTTTAGGTTTTTTGTGTCGAAACTATTCATTATTGGTCAAAACGACTTCGATGTCCCTATCTCAACTTTTGATTTACTATCTACTGACATTTAATTAGAACATATATTATACAGTGTGGTTCAAGATTCAGAATTCTGATCACCCTGTATCTGTTTCAATTATTAAATGTCAGTAGATAGTAAATCAAAAGTTAAGATAAGGACATGAAAGCAGTTTTGACCGATAATGAATAGTTTTGTCACAGAAAAATTCCTTAAGTCGAAAAATCTCGATTTTGAACACCATATCTCTGTAATCATTCCCGCTAGATCCCAAGTGTGATGTATTGATGAAATCAGCTCTTCAGGGAGAATCTAAAAATGCGGTGAAATACAGGGTGTACCATTTGAAAAAATCAAGTAGTACTCTGTAGATCGTTTGTCCCAGCACCCTGTATTTTCTGATGCAACGGGAAAAAATTTCTGAAAAAATCATTTCAGATGATTTTTCAAATTTTTAAATCGGTTCAAAAATAAGTGAGCTAGAGGGGGGGACATTTATGGTTAATCACCCTGTACATAAATAACTTATTGAATCGTGTTTTTTTATTTATAAAAGATTTTTTGATTCAACTTATTTTTTTCCCCAAATAAATATGGAAATAATGATCTTCACATTTTGTATAAATTTACCGTTGGTTCTAAAAAAAGGTAGATGAAAAATGCATTCAACTTTTTTTTTCTGTTCTGGTTCCCACGAAAAGGGATATCCTGTAATGTTCAGAGCACATCGTGAGGACCAAGTGAAATAAGGTAGGAATTGGTATTCTTCTCAAATTTCTGGAGGTTATATGCCTCGAGGAACACCTCCCTTGGCAATGTGTTGCCGAGCCTCGCTGTTCGTTGGATGAACGACTCTTTGGAAAGAGATGGTCTGCAGGTCTCCAAAGTGACCACGAAATATTTTTACTCTCCCAAATTGAAATTAGATATTGCAATTTGAATAAATGAGGCAAAAGTAAATACATTTCAAGTATTTTATGGGAATGATATTTCGGATTTTGGATAAAATGCCTATGATCGAATTTATTTTATTTCTCTCCAAGGAATTCCAAGGAAATCCAAGGAATTCCAAGGAAATCCAAGGAATTCCAAGGAAATCCAAGGAAATTCAAGGAAATCCAAGGAATTTCAAGGAAATCCAAGGAATTTCAAGGAATTTCAAGGAAATCCAAGGAATTCCAAGGAAATCCAAGGAATTCCAAAGAAATCCAAGGAATTCCAAGAAAATCCAAGGAATCCCAAGGAAATCTAAGGAATTCCAAGGAAATCCAGGAAAATCCAAGGAATTCCAAGGAACTCCAAGGAATTCCAGTAGTTTTTACACCCGAATTATAAACCCAAAGAAATCAAAATAATTCCAAGGAAATCCAAGGAATTCCAAGGAAATCCAAGGAATTCCAGTTGTTTGTACACCAGGAATATACCGCAATTCACCCTAGGAATTCCAGAGAATTTCAAGGAAATCCAAGGAATTCCAAGGAAATCCAAGGAAATCCAAGGAATCTCAAGGAAATCCAAGGAAATCTAAGGAAATCCAGGAAATTCCAAGGAAATCCAGGAAATTCCAAGGAATCCCAGTTGTTTGTACACCAGAATTCCACCGCGGTTTACCCCTCGGAGATATACATACATGAAGATTTGTCATAAATTCAGAGTCAACTTATTGCACATAAAATCTGATACTTTTTGCAACCAATATATTGCATGTTATGGAATATATGGAGCATATTTATAGCTTATGAATAATCAAATGTTCAATTGCTAATAGGTGCCTCCATTATTTCACAATTTTTATATAGACAACTTTATGATGGAATCGTTTAATTTGATGAGCTCTACATTCCATTGAAAACTATCTTGCCTTTGACCACCCCATATTTTTTATGTTCAGGAATTCGGGGCGTCCCAAAATAAAACAATATTTCACCAGCGCTATTTAGGTCAGGAAGTGAGTAGTAAATTTCATAATATTATGAATATGGTGTCCTAAACAATGTTTCATTCAGGAGATACAGGGTATTCAATGTGATGTTCTGAATGTATTAGTACAAAAGATAATTATATTGTATGAGATGCAATAAATATCAAGGTGAATATTATTTATGAAGAAAAAACAGTGGAATACATTTCTCAGATGCATATTTCTTAAATGAGGACCATCCTATCAAAATGAGAAAAGATGGTCTTTTTGTGTAAAAATATCAAATTTAAATATATTTACAAGAAAATGTAAGTTACTTTATTCACATCTTTTATACATTCTCTATATCTATAAGAGTAAGCATGTTAGGACACATATAATCAATCATAATTTTTTTTTTCAATTAATCAATCAACATAAACATTAAAAACTTATTGAATCTGAAATTTATAACAAAATCCCATTAAAATTAGAATATCTGAACCAAGATTTGAACATTATAACTTTAAACTTTGGTTTTTATAGAAAATGCTAAAGATCCATGCTCTTCAACCAACTATTTTTCTGTTTTCTTATTTCATTTTTGTTTCTATCATACACTATCAAAAGCACTTGAATATATGAAATAACATATTTTTTCCACACATAGGAGCACTCGTTGGAGCATATATGTGATAAAAATTCAATAATTTTAATTACATATTCTGCAATCAATATTATCTCATAAAATATGTATATTTAACTTGATTGAATAAATAAATAAATGAATAAATTAGAACATGAAACCTAATTTCTGACCTATATATTAAACTGCAGATGATCATTAACATATATGTAATGCTGTAATTGAAAAAAAAAAACACTATAGGGAGAGTTGAATACCTTTGGGTTGATAGTTTCCATCATCACTTCAGTGCATTTGTCAATCAATCCATCCAGTTGGAACATAGTAGCTGTAGCCAATATAGGAACTATCTCCAGAGGATTCATCATTATTTCACAATTATATAAAGAACCAAGAACTACTCTCATGGCTGAAAAAAATCAAATGTACACCCAGTGAATTTCAGGATAATTTATATTCTTACAGTCAACAGTTATTAGAGGATCCACAATATCAATTGTGATATATTTTTGAGTAGTTTCTAGCCAAGATCCACCAAACATACTAGCAAAATATGGGCTTTGACACAGGTAGACCCTGTGTAAGTTGAATTCTTGCCCCAAGGCACATACAGTCACATCAGAATTTTTTCCTTCAAGGAACAGTGCTTGGTAAATGTATTTTGCTGTGCTAACTAATTTTTTCCTGAAAACATAATATTGATGATAAGTACACTACATATTTTATAGGATGTAAAAGATATGGTAGGAGTGAGATTATGAAACATACCTTTTTGGTGTGTGCAGTGCTATATCAATAATTTTATTAACTTGTTCATCTTCAGATTCACAATATTTTCTTTTCCTTCCTGTTACATATCCAGTAACATTGCTAACAATATTTTGCGTTGATATTTTTCCGCCCATAGTGTGGGTGTAATGTTTTTTTGCCTTATTTGGGGGAATATATAGGTCAAAACTGCAGAGGGTGATGTCAACAGTTTACCCTTGACATCGGAGATCAAGAAATGTATTGCCAAATATTAGTTACATGATACTATTTTGTCAAAGGTTCTTGTTGTCTAATACTCTCACTATTTCACTACACACGTTAAATTTCTTCACTCCAACCGTCGATTACTACTTTCACACCAATTTTGTTTACACAATCTGAAATATGAATAAATTAGATGTATTTGCTCCTTCCTCCTCAAATGTTAAATAGTTTACTTTCTTGATCACCAATACAGAGTCTGGAGTCGCTGATATAAACTACAATATTGATGTAAAGTTATTAAACACGTTATAAAATAATTTGAAAGCAAAAACCTATCAATTTGACATTACTTTTGCGGCGCCACTGCAAAATTGAAAAACAGTGAAATGAAAACAAGGCAATCAGTGCGGCGTTGTCGTTGTCACTAGGTTATCAAAGAATCTTGACACAAAAACGAATGAGTCTATTTCTTAGGTTCATTTACACGAAAGGTGAGAAAACGTTTCTGAAAATCAAACTCAAAGATCACGGACTAAATAATTCACTCGCGCTGATTTGACAAAGTGAAAATTGGAAAAATGATTCAATTCCAACTGACAGTTGGTTGTCATTAACGATAGAAAATAAGAGTTCTTGAAAGCTGTCAAAGCGGCATGTTTACTTTCTTTTCAATGGTTGACATATGGTTTTTCATCAAAACAAACCGCTCAGAAGTGTTGAAGTTGCTGCTGGTAGGTGGGGCGAGTTGTTATTTTCTATCGCGAAAGTATTTGTGCTATTCCGTTTGGTAATTTTGTTATGAAGGTAATCTTCAACTCGAATTCTAGAGATATAAAAGGACTGTAACTTTGTTGTGATGATCTATATATAATAATAAATCGTTTGTTACGTTTATATGATAATGCATGATGATAATGATGATATCGTTACCATCGAGACTATATACGTTATATACTCTATATACTACTGCTGTGATCTGAAAATTTTTGAAAGCATCTTCATATCCATCGTAAAACTTCAACCATCACTCACTTTTATTTCCTTTTGTACTTGTGAACGTAAACTAATGTTTCCAAACTTTTACTTTTACAATACGTGACGAAAGTCTCGTGAAATTGACAACACTGTCTGGAGTTTCTGGCGATGACAAAACAAACAAAACCATAACCTAACATAAAATATTTGGAAGATCTGTCATCGCCCAAAATAAATATCACCTCAAGAAGAAAGAAAGTACAGGTACGAGACCCTCAAGCACCATTTCCAGTCGACGTCAAACGCATTAAATAATCACCAACACGTAATGGTCTCCAAACATGTATTATGTCACCAGCAGCTCAAGGTGGTTATGTAAACAAACTTTCAGGTTATGTATGAGAAGTGCCCAAAATCAACAAATTCTAAAGAAATATGGAGCAGTTTCGGCCGAGAATTATACTGGAACTGACCCTGTCCACCAACGTAGATATTTTTCCTTCCAAAACACAGTCGATACCATAGCCAAGACTCAAACAGGAATTTTCAAAGCTCTATCTGAAAGCACCCCTGTAGAGTGTGCCCAGAAATTTTTACTAACTTTCCATGATACATCAGGACTGCCATGGTGGGCCACTATAGTATGTACCACAATATTACTAAGAACATGCATAACAGTACCACTAGCTGTGTACCAGTATTACATCCTAGCCAAATTGGAGAATTTAAAACTTGAGATGCCAGCACTTGTGAAAGAACTACAGAAAGAAACAGCTGTGGCGATAAAAATGTACAACTGGGATGAAAAACAGACCAAGAGAGTGTATAACAGATCTGTTAGTGAGCACAATATGGGTTGAATCCTACCATATTAATTCCAGTTTTGTAGGTAAGGAAGCTTTGGAACAACTTGATAATTCGTGACAACTGCCATCCATTCAAAGCAAGTTTGCTTCTGTGGTTCCAAATACCAATGTGGATAAGTCTGTCAGTGGGCCTGAGAAATTTGGTCTACATGTTGCCTGACAGAGGTATAGAAGCTAAACTGACTTTTGCTGAGCTATCAATGGGTGGATTTGGGTTCATTCCTAACCTTACTGTGGTTGATGCTTCTTGGATACTCCCCATCACCTTGGGCATTATGAATTTAACAATAATTGAAGTAAGAAGCAGGCCTATATACTGTCATAGACCTAAAAGGTGTTGAGAATGATAATGAATTCATTTACAGATGCAGGCATTATCAAAAGTAAATGCTCCTACAAGATTGCAAAAAATGTTGACCAATTTCTTCAGGGGTGTCAGCATTGTAATGATTCCTATAGCAGCCTCTGTACCTTCAGTGAGTCAATTCATTTGATCTATTGAAATTGATGCTAATATGTATTTATTTTTAGTGTCTTGTTTTATACTGGACCACTTCTAGTACATTTGGGCTGATTCAAAATATAGCATTAATGTCACCAAAGATGAGAAGAGTTTGTAAGATACCAAAAACTGCTAGTGAATTAGAACATCCTTATCAACATCTAGCTCTAAGGTTGAAAAACAAATTTAGTTTCTTACCAGGAATATCAAAACCTCTCTAATAAAAATTATAGGTATGGAGGTTTGAGTTTTATTGAAGAAGTGGAACACCTAGTTCAGTTTACTAGACGCATTTCACTCATATTTCACTAAACACCTTACTGAAAACATAACTGAATTCATTGGAAATAAAACGAACACAAGTTAAGAATCTATGAAACTCCTCAAAATTTGAACTATTTCAGTAGTTCAAAATGTTGGTAGTTATTTATTGATTCTTCTTATTTAAACACAGACTGACTGTATGATACTCAGCCAGCTAAAATTTCTTCTTCTTATTGGTGTGGTCCAAGTATTTTGTGAGGGTGGGGGAGGCATTTGAATCGGAATATAAATCAGAGAAGAAGACGATGTTTTGGGCTGATGATCTGTCACTTTTGTCTTTTTCCAATCTGTCAAGTTTCAAGTTTTTCGTCTACGTGTAGAAATGTGGAAAATATCAGTGTTTCGGTGATTTTAAAGAGGAAAAACATAAAAAATTCATGAGAATCTGATAGTTTCCATATTCCTCAAGAAGAATAACATAAACATGCGAACGTTGTGTAAAATACTGCTTTTATCCTTTGTTATTGGGACGTTTTCAGATGAACACAATCACATAGTAAGTACCTAAAAGATACCTATACTATACTAATGAATCCTACTGAACTATTTTATCCTTTATTCTATTTTGCTGAAGGCAAGCTCAATTTTAGGGAGAATTATAAATTGGTAAAGATATGTTTCAACAGTTTAGGTACTTCCTGTAAACAGCTAATAAGCATTAGTACATAGACAAGACCTAGCCACTATTTGGGAAACATTTCAGTAAATAGATGTTTTCAAGTCAAATCATGCATTATTTTTCTACAGTATGATGATAATGAAGAGGTAGTCCTGTGGATGAATACTGTAGGTCCCTACCACAACAGGCAGGAGACCTATGCATATTATTCACTACCTTTCTGTGTGGGTTCCAAGGAAACCATTAGCCACTACCATGAAACACTCAGCGAAGCTTTGCAAGGGGTTGAATTGGAATTCAGTGGAATTGAAATTGAATTCAAAAGTAAGTTGAGCATGAATTTTCAGTTAATAATGTTTGGAATGGAAATAAATCAGGAACAGTTATTATGGCAGCAATTTTAGTTCATGAAAAGATTTTACAGAGTATATCAGGTCCAGATATTTTTGAGGGTATTATGCTCCATATTATGTACTATTTTATTGGTTCAAACATTCAATCTACTGGGTGTCCCAAGTTATTGTATACAGGCAATATCTGGCTTATTTGACAAGATAATTGAAAATTCAAAAACTGCATTGAATGACATCTGAGTATCTTCCTAATGTCATATAAACAATTATTACATTGGACAGTTCTCTGGCAGCTATCAACTACTTTTTATTTCTAAATGGCACCCCCTGTATATTATTGAAAATTGACTGTCAACCTATAAGGAATACCATAATAGCATATAATTGGAATTTTTCTATTTTTATAACAAAAATAGCAACATTTAATGAAGTATGAATTTCAACTGAAATATCTTTTTTGCCAATCAAAAAATAAACTAAAAATCACAGTAAGTGTCCAAAATTATCTTGACATGAGAAGCATTGGCTTTTTGAAACAAAAAACATGAGCAGAGACAATTTTTAATTTTCAATTAACTTGAAACAAGTCACAAAATGGGGATATTTTTGATGTTACCAATGATAAATACCAAGTATTCCAAATTGAATGACATGTAATTTCCAATGACAAGATACAAGGAGTGCCATTTTAAAATAAAAAGTGGGGGATAGCTGGCAGATAACTGCCCAATGTGATATTTTTTTTTATGTCATTAGGAAGGTAATTCAATGCCATTCAATGGAGTTTTTGCATTGTTTAATTATCTTGTCAAATAGGCAAGATATTGCCTGTATATGATGACTCGGGACACCCAGTATAGGTTATTGGAAGATTTCATTTTTTTTACATCAAGTACTACAAAGTGGAAGAGATTTTTTTATCACATACTGTTTTTATACTTGAATAAATATTTTTTTCAAAATTGTTGATTTGCACAATATTGTTTTATCAATGGATTAATATAAGTAGGCTTTGAGATATTAATTGTTTAAATTTGAATTGGAATTGATGTGTAAAATATATTTTTGTAAAACATACAGTGAAAGGCTGATACAAAAAACATTCAAAGTTTTTGTGGAAGTGTAACTTTTTTATTTTCTTTTCAAAACAAGCTTCTGAATATCTTTGAAATATATTCAGAGTGATTTAGACACAGTAATTCTGAACTACCTGATATTAATGAATCTGCAAGCAAATGTTTACATTGGTATATTTCAGACAAATGTTATCTCAGTATCATTTTTGCAGAATTGCTTCTGCCTATAAATAGTTCAAGGTTATTGTTTATTCAGATGCTCCAGTCTTTAGTATACAGTATACCCCAAGTTTAATACTTCTTGCTTGTGGATCATTATTTATTTGAAGCCTGACATGAAATATTAATATTTTTTCACTCCAAATGACTTCCCCATTTTCTAGACTTGAATCTGAATCAGCAAAACTATGTGATAGATTCCTATATTCCACTACATATAATTTTTTTCATTATATTTTCTAGTATATTTTTGCTCCTTCTGAATATCTCATGTATTTGACTCCCAAAAAAATTGAGTCTGCAAAAAAACCCAACTGTTCTTGAAGTATTCAAGATAGCAATAATAATAATAATACTAATAATATCATAATTATGCCCTTCTGCTAATGCAAGATAGATGATTACCTATTTTATATGTTTTTATTGTTTTTTATCGTTTCTATTGTATTTGATATTATAGAAATTGAATTGGACAGAATTTTGATAACTGCCAAAGTTGATAGTCAAATATGGCATCCACTTGCAAGACAAGCTGTCCATATTTTTACTTCTGATTTTCTCATGTATTTGGACCCCTGAAAATAAATTTGCAAACCAAAACTGTCTAGTCTAGGTAAAGGAACAGTATTCTCGAGAATTATATATCTCCAATTTTCAATTGTTTTCTCATCTAATTGTATTTTATATTGAATCAATTGAATTGATCAAAATGATCCTGTTTTCATTATATTTCATTGAATTTACTATTTTATTGTAATTAATTGTATAGCATAGCTAAAGGAGTATATTATTATTATACAGGTTCTAGACTTTTCTATATGAAGAAAAAGCATTCTCATTCTCAGAAAGACTAATTCTCCATTTTTTTGTTGTTTATATTATATGAATTGTATTGGTCACAATGATTCACTTTTGCCAATGTTGATTTAGTTATTCTGTTGTAAATGTTCAAAGTAGCCTACTTTCATTATTTCTCTTAATTATTTAGCACACTAGAAGGAAAAGAGATACCTTCTCAAGAATAATAATTCTCCTACATTTGCATCGTTTTTGTATTTTATTGTATTTTATATTATGTAAATTAAATTAATCATCATGAATAACTTTTGCCAATGCCAGTCAAACCTATAAGAATGTTCAAAGATGATACTGTCCTAGTCTATAGTGGCACATATACTGAAGGACTAGTAGATCACATCAACAGAGACTTGTGCACATATTATAGCAAATAAGCTTAAACTGAATAACCAAAGAACAAACTTCATGATCTTTAGGCAAAAAAATCCAAAATTGAGGAACTCAGATTAGAAATTGGTGGACATGCAGTCGGAGAGGTCAGCAGCACAAAATATTTAGGATTAATTTTAGACAACACCCTCAGTTTGAACGAACATGTAGATCACATACATAAAAAAATTGTACCAATGGTTGGAGCCCTCTACAAATGCAGAGACTTTCTTAATAATAATGTCAAGAGGATGATCTATAATTCTTATTTTCTCTCAATTTTTAGATACTTGATAGTAATTTGGGGCACAACCAATCCAACTCAATTAAATAGGTGCCAAATACTCCAAAATAAAGCGGTTAAGAGCTTATTCTCCTTACAGAATCGGAGCAATACAAATACAAAAACTTGCTGTTGTATTCAAATTAGAACAGTGTAAATTTGTACGCTTCACCATAATAGAAAAACTTACATTACAGTTACGTACAGTAATGTCATTCATGAATCCTAATGTTGTATTAGGAACAGAAATAATCTGCACCTTCAGAATGTAAGAACAAATATAGCATCAAGAAATCCTGTGAACAAAGGAATGCAAACATATAATTCTCTTCCAAATTCAATTAGAAGTATAAGTATTGAGAAAAAATTCACTGTAAACCTGAACTTATTTATAGATTAAAAAATTACAATAAAGCAATAAATAAAAAATTGGACACAATCGGAACTCTGACACCATATACAGTTTGTCTAACTCCTAATGGAAACACCCCTGTATCTTACGTAATCGTTGGGTAAAGATCCTGAAATTTTGCTGGCGCGAGAGATATACCAAGAATGCACTCTATGACCAAGTGGGGTCATCTTCAGTGATTTACACTGCTCGCCAACAGCTATGGAATCACCCCAATTTCCGGAAAATAATATCAAGAGACAAGATGTTGTTGAAAATCACTTCGGATTCGAAAACAGGATGTCCAATTCACTAACCTTCCATATTTTGACGCATTATTATCAGTAACGATTTTCTTCATACTATTAATGAATCCATTAATTCACACACTCCTGATGATCTATTCGATTGTACTAGTTTTTATTGGTATTTCATTATCCCTGATGAGAACTGACTTTATGATTATCAATTTCAGAACAATCATTAAGTGAATTTTCCGATTTCATAAATTTTTCCTCCTGGAATGTCGGTGATGCTACTTGGTCATTGGTATCTAGCCATTGGTATCTTTATTGGTCCTGAAAATTTTAAATTCCTACATCAATAATAACGTAAGATACTAGGGTGCTTCCATGAAAAGTGAGACAGATTTTATTATTTCAGAACTGAACATTTTTTAGAAGGATTATGAGTAGGTAGTTGGTGAATTAGACATTCTGTTGCCTCCTAATATCATTTTCCGGAAATTGGGGTGGTTCCCCATGGCTGTTGGCGAGCAGTGTATATCACTGGAGATGACCCCACTTGGCCATAGAGTATATCTTCCGCCCCAGAAAATTTCAGAATCCCAACCCAACCAATATGTAAGATACAGGAGTGTTTTCATTAGAAGTGAGACACACTGTATGTTGCTTAGCAGTTACTTTTGTTCAGAACTGTTAATACACTCAGTTCCAAAAAAAGTTACGCACTTGATATTTGACCTTAGAAAAAACGAAAAACAGTAGGCCGATTTTCATTTTTTTCATTTGTTGGTAGGTAATGTATTTGTATTAAAAAAAATAGAGGTGAAATTTTTTTCAAAGCCTCCTTGATGGTGGTGGAATAACTCGAACCATGATTTATTCTTAATTTTTGACTCACCCTGTGTGTTCATTGAGTAATGGCATAGAAAGTGCTTACACCCTATACGAAAGAGGCTTCTTTTGCGAGCATTTTGTTTTTTTATTCATTGATTTATCTCTAAATTTTTCCGAATTACAGCTTTTTTTGCTGAATCCTTGCAGATTACCAACTTTCTGAATATATCGAGAAACAATTTTCTAATGAAATAAACTGATACCAATAATTTTAAAAAACATTTTTATTAAACACAAAATTATAAATTGGGATGACTGCTTAATACCGTGTATTGCCTCCTCTAGCAACTCTAAGAACTTCTAATCTACGAGGCATACTGGAAATTAAGTTGCTTATCGTTTCCATTGGTATACGATCCCATTCTTCCACTAATGCATTTACCATTTCTGCGAGACTTTCCGGAGACCTCTCACGAGAACGTACTTTTCTAATTCATTCATCCCACAAATGTTCTATAGGATTCATATCGGGGCTTCTCGCAGGCCATTGTAATGTGGTAATATCAGTAGCTTCTAAGAAGTTTCGCACTATTGCGGCGGTGTGTGGTCGGGCATTATCCTGCAACAATATAAAATTATGGCCCACTAACTCTGCATAAGGTAAGACATACTGCTCTAAAATGTCAATGTAAATTTGGGCATTCATCGACTGCCTCACTGGAAAAACATGAAGGGGTGTCTTTCCATTCATTGAAATCCCTCCCCACACCATAACGGACCCAAAATCAAAACTTTCGCATTCTGTTATTAAATTTTGATTAAACCGTTCACCAGTTCTGGTTCAAGTTTCGTTTAGCTGAAATCAGTTATGGAAAATTTGTTGCCATGGCAACCGTTGTCCTGGTAACAGAATAACAGAAAACAAAATCCCGTGGTGAGGAAATGCATGGTTGCCAAGTTGTATCGGGTTTAGTAGAGCTGAAATCAGTTATGGAAAAACTGTTGCCATGGCAACGATCGTCATGGTAAGGAGTAAACTAAAACCCGATTCCCGTGGTGAGGAAATGCGTGGTTGCCAAGTTGTATCGGGTTTAGTATAGCTGAAATCAGGGCAATGTTCGACCCTCAAATTTTGTTTCACAAAAGTTCTTGCTAGTAGTCAAACAATAACTTGATTAGAATGAATACCCTTCTTATCAATTTCTTGAAGACTGTTCGTCGTTGATTAATTCATAAATTACTACTTCTCTGACAATCATATATGGAAATAACGTCAGGAAGAAATCGGCTTTGTTATTGAAAAAAGCTAGACAAAATAGCGAGCGACAAAATAGTGCGGAACAAATAGCGCATAAGGAAGGATACTACTTTTTCTAAACAATCTAACCTAACTCGGCCTAAATGAACCTTCTTTGAAAAAATATATTTTTCAACGTCGATCAGATTTGGTAGCAAGGCATCGTTCGTGTGTGTTTGAAGACTGCATTGAAAAGGACACTACTTTTTCCAAACAATCTAACCTAACTCGACTTAAATCAACCTTCCTCTTGAAAAACATATATTTTCAAACATCGTTCAGATTTGGTAGCAAGGCTTCGTTCGTGTATGTTTGAAGACTGTTGCTGAATCAAAATGTGCGCGTGAAGAAAGGTATGGGTGAATCGAAATGATGGCAAATGGAAATGTGGGTGAATATTACAAAATGTCTCTGTTTCTTTTTGATTTTGTCGAATAGCTCGGCACGCGACGGATGGTCACATTGAAGAGTGTTTTTGGAATTAACGAATGAAGCAATAATTCTCCGATACAACTTGGCAACCACGCATTTCCTCACCACGGAAATCGGGTTTTTGTTTACTCGTTACCATGACGATCGTTGACATGGCAATAGTTTTTCCATAACTGATTTCAGCCAAACTAAATCCTATACAACTTGGCAACCACGCATTTCCCCACCACGGGAATCGAGTTTTTGTTTACTCGCTACTATGACGATCGTTGCCATAGCAACAGTTTTTTTATAACTGATTTCAGCTAAACGAAACTTGAGCCCCAGTTCTTCTCCACACTCTCTTTCTTCCATCCACCATGTTAAGGCAAAACCTTGACTCATCCGTAAACAAGACATTCGACCATTCAGGAATATGCCACTGTCCATAATTTTCAACAAAATTTCTTCTAGCAGCACGATGTTCGGGCAATAGCCTAGCTTTTAAATTAACTTCTTTTAGACTTCTACATACCGCCTGCTTACTTACTGCTACATCACGAATTTGGCGAAGATCTTGCTGAACATTTACCGCAGTATTTGAAATCCGCAATCTCAAGAAGCGATCATCTCTTGGAGAAGTTTTTCGGGGGCGACCAGAACTGACTCTCCGAGCGGTGCTTCCTGTTTGTTCGTACTTGCGGATTGCTCTACGAGCAGTTGCTTCATGAACTCCCACTGCACGAGCGGCGTAATGTTTACTACGCCCATCGTTTACTAACGCAACTAATCTTGCTACTTGTTCAGGATTTATTTGAGGCATTTTATGTAATTTTAGTCAATAAAACAAGACACTCAATCAATGACACAAATATGGAGGCATACAACAAATTAGTTGCTATGGCAACGGCATTTGTTTTTTTAAAGACAATGTGATCCTACCAGAGTTCAACCCAATCAATTTTGAGTACTCTGATCCTTCAATAAATTTAATTTGTGGGATAAGCGTAAGGTATCAGCAAAAAAGCTGTAATTCGGAAAATTTTAGAGATAAATCAATGAATAAAAAAACAAAATGCTCGCAAAAGAAGTCTCTTTCGTATAGGGTGTAAGCACTTTGTATACCATTACTCAATTAACACACAGGGTGAGTCAAAAATTAAGAATAAATCATGGTTCGAGTTATTCCACCACCATCAAGGAGGCTTTGAAAAAATGTTCACCTCTTTATTTTTTTTTTAAAGACAAATGCATTACCTACCAACAAATAAAAAAAATAAAAATCGGCCTATTATTTTTTTTAAGAAGATAGGTCAAATATCAAGTGCGTCACTTTCTTTGGAACTGAGTGTAGTATATGTATCATATTTAGGAAAACACTGTAATTATGTAAATACTTTTCTGAATAAAGCTTTGCTTGAAAAAAAGTGGTTTCCTCTTTTGATTGAATTTTATTGTATTTCATCGAATTTACTATTTTATTGTAATACATTGTATTCTCTTGAATTTGACCATGTGATTCCAGATAACATGGCCAAAGGAGAATATTGTGCAGTCCCTCTGGATGAAGAAAAATACAAGGCGTTCGTGTACGCCGTCAAAAATCACTACTGGTACCAAATGTACATCGATGACCTGCCCATATGGGGCGTTGTGGGCGAAGTCAAGGACAACAACTACTACATTTGGACGCACAAAAAATTCGAAATCGGTTACAACGGCAAGCAGATCATCGATGTCAATCTGACGTCAGAAGATAAGGTACATTTTGCATTGGAAATCCATTGATTGCCAAATTTTTTCCACTTATGGACCACATTGAATAAATAATAAATTGATTACCAAAAATTCAGAATGTTCATTGATATTTTCCAGGTTCAGTTGCAGCCAACAGGCAAGTTGAGCTTCACCTATGAGGTGAAGTGGAAGAGAACAGATACCAAATATGAGGATAGGTTTGACAAGTATTTGGATCACAATTTTTTCCAACACAGGGTAAGGAAATTTAATGTGAGATTGATCTAGCATCAACTGGATTTTTTTTATTTCCTGTTATCTTATGAAGATTTCATTAGAAAAGATGTGAACCTTGGAAATTTTGTAGATCCATTGGTTCAGCATCTTTAACAGCTTCATGATGGTGATTTTCTTGGTGGGTTTGGTGTCTATGATATTGATGAGAACTCTACGAAAAGATTACGCTCGGTATAGCAAAGATGAAGACATCGATGATATGGTGAGTGATTTTTTCCCACTCAGCTGTCATAGTAAGTGAATTACTGTTCTACTTTCAATTTTGTCGGCGTCTTTCGGCCATCTGCAATCGCGTGCGGAAAAGTTACTTTACGCACGTGTTAGGTACACAATTTTTTCTACTAGCGTGCGGAAAAAACCCAAGTGTTAACATGAAGAAACATTTATTATTAAATACATAGTTTGCAAATTAATTATTATTAATATTAATCGTGCAATTTGTTGCATTCTGCAAATTAATTGCAGAAGCTAAAGTTTTTTCTGATGAAGTAATATTACGGTTTTCCATTGCTTTGTCAGCAACCGTGGCCATCGGAACTTGGCTGGAAGAGGTCATTTCGGAAGGCTTCACTGGTAACAGCTGCTGACTAGTGGACAAGCCGCGATTTTACTAAATATACTGCACGCTAGCACAAACCACGCCCACCGTAATACTTCATGTCTCCAAACATCACCGATATACTCGGAGTCAGCACATCGCACTAAATATACTGTACTTCAACGCGAGAATTCACTTTTTATGATTTTGACACGAATTCGACTGAAGCTCTCTCGCTGTCAATCTCTTGTATGCAGTAAATTTATATACCCAAACGGTCTACTGGTTAGCGCTGTCGACTTTCAGTCTGAAGGTCCATGGTTCGAATCGCTGTGAACTTGAACTTTGTTTGCAACTTTTTTTTTTCACCAATGTTTTTTGACTTCATTCTGGTTTTCCTTCTTCAGAAAATATTTGAAGTCAAATAGGTTAGTGCGTTTAGGATAAACAATCTCAATTTATGCAATTTTGTTGAAGAACTGGATTTTTGAAATATATTATTGATCAATGTGTTTTTACACTCCATTCTGGTTTTCCTTCCTCAAAAATATTGCAATCAGGAATAGGTTAGTTCGTTAATGATAAATAGTCTCTGAGTTTTGCCTAAGTAAAGTACTTTGAAGATGAGATATCACGGTGGGCGTGGTTTGTGCCAGCGTACAGTATATTTAGTAAAATCGCGGACGGGCCAGCTACAGCGTCACTGAAGTTCAATATTTTATTCGATAGGCCCTTTTTGGAAACTTGGTGAGCTTTCTACATAACCTTCTGCGTCGGTGGAAGATTTCCAACCTCCGAGGCGTTTAGTATTTGATATTCCTCTTCCGAAATTTGCAAGCATTGTGGCGGCGGAACGTCGGAAACTGTGGCCCGTATACCGGGTGTCATAACTTCTAGACCATTAGGTGTATCAAAATGGGCCACTTCCGGTTTCACCGGATATGGCTCCGGTTCTAAATTTTCAAATGGAACACCCTGTATATTGTGGCATTTTTGGATTTCTGAGACAATTGTAGATCAGAATGTGACATTTTCGAAAGTTTTTATGCCTACTCGATTTTTTCGGAGTCACTTTTGAAATTACATCTAGGTGCCATGATCGGAAGTAAACTAATCTAAGGACCTCAGGACCCTCAGGTGATATCAGAAAATTACAATCGCGAAGTTTTAGTGACAAGAATGATAGATATGAATAAGACAAGATGGATAAATTACATTTTCGTTTCTATTATTTTTCAAATCGCGACCATTTCTTGACAAGCACTTTTCGAAAAAAAGGATATTTTGACGAATCTAACGATACTAATTTATTTGCGATTGGATTACAAATAACAACATAAATTGAATATTACTGATGAAAATACTTCATAATAATTTATTTCCTTTGGTCATGTGTGGATGATAATTCATTTACTTGTAAGCACTTCCCGAAAAAAGTATATTTTTACAAATCAAACGATACTAATTTATTTGCGATTGGATCAACAAATTCAACAAAATTAACAATAACTTCAGCGATGCACTTACATTTTTTTTCAATTTCCAAATTTCTCAAAAGTGCTTGTCAAAAAATGGTCACCATTTGAAAAATAATAGTTAGACACGAAAATGTAATTTTGCTAACTTGTCTTATTCATATCTATCATACTTGTCACTAAAACTTCGCGATTCTGATGGTAGTAGATCCAAGTTTGCAGTTCTAGCCGCTTCCAAAACTGCCTTTGGCAAATCTTCGTCTGAAGAATCCATGGAAAATTATATCACTCGAGAATGTTGGCAACAGTAAAATTGGTTTTGACAAGGTAGTGTTTTGGGTAGAGATGTATAGAAATTTAACTGGTGCGCTTGCTCCCTATTGAAGGTCGTTTGCAAGTTTCTCGATGGCGCCTACTCTGATAAACCTTTGATAAACATACTTGACGTGGGTAAATCTCGCTATGCTCATCCTGGTTACAATCCATATTTACAGGAAACATATTACCGACCGATAAATATTTGGGTACGTATATGATTCGGATCAGAGCAGTGAACTGATTCCTGATCAAAGGATCGAAACGTCAATATGTCAAAAATATTCTTGAGCTGAAGAAATGGTTATTTCTGAGATTGGGGTCAAGTGTTCGTTAGGGACGTGTTAGTTTCTAAATTTTGTGTATAATACCTAATTCACCATAGAAAAAAGAAAATCTCTGTTCTACAACAGTATCATTTCAGTGATTTGAAATATTAGCGTAAACTGGTGCGAATAAATTTCTAAGTTGAGTATCAGTTACCATATCTGTGTTTTATGATTTTCGATATTGGTCTACTTCAATAGTTGATACATTCTTTGTTCTGGTTCTTCAAAGAGGAAATTCATCAGATTTCATGCTTTAAATAGGTTCATGTCATGAAAGAAGTGAAGCTTATTAAAATCGGCTACAAAAAAGATTTCTTGCTTCTATTTCAAATTGGAATTTGAATGAAAATGTTGAGCACAGTATTTATTCGACCACAGAACAATGATGGAAATAGATTCATCCCTCACAGAACCAAGGTTTTGAACGATTTTCCGATTATGGCGCCTCTATCGCAAATACCTGAACCCCACGTCCAAAACTCGCTTGCAATTGTTCCATATCGAGAGTTAGTCTGACGAAACAATTGAAGAGTGAGCCCACCAGTTAAATTTCTATACATCTCTTTTTGAGTGGCAGGTTTATTTCTCTATTGTTGCTACGGTGATTCAAAATGACAAATAAAAAATGTCAGATCATTGTCGATCTAAATGAAAACCTAGTAGGCGACCTAGTGCGAGGACGTATTATAGCTCCTGCCTACTGACTACCTAACTAGGTTGTCACCTAGAATGACAATGGTCAGATGTTTATTATTATTTGACATTCATTTGATGAGGCTTATACCAGGGCCATTTAAAAATTATTGAAACATAATATGTTCCTTTTTATCAAAAATTATAGCAGAATTCTAATAAAATTCCCCATTCATGTCATTATGTAAATTACATCATACAAATATAAATCTTGAGTATTCAAATTTCAGTACATTCCCTCAAAACTTAACGAATTTTTTTTTCGACACTGAAATGAGTGCGGAAAAGTGAACTTTTCCGCATGCTAGTAGAAAACAATGTTTTCCTTTTGATTTGAATTGATTTTATCAGTTTCTAGTAATGATACAGTGTTCATAACATATCTCTCCTTTCTGGTGGTCCTCAAATGAGTAACCGCAATTTTTTAATCTAACAATTTTCAAGCAAATTACCGGTGATAATTCGAGCACATGGGAGATTGTAACTGAAAATTTCCGATTTTTCAGGAAAGAGATTTGGGCGACGAGTACGGTTGGAAACAAGTGCACGGCGATGTGTTCCGACCGGCATCGAATGCCCTCTTTTTCTCGTCTCTCATTGGGGCCGGACATCAGCTGACCACCGTCGTACTGTGTGTCATCATATTCGCCATATTGGGAGACTTGTACACAGAGTAAGAAATAGTATTTTTCCACTTCTTTCATTTTTCAGATTTTTTTTTTCGTCTGGTCAAAGGACCCCGCACCATTTACATTTAAATCTTGTCTACGGTGAAATTTTGTGAAAATCTAGGATTGGATAGATTAAATCACCCTGAACAAGGAATGACTTTTGGTCCAGGAGCGTCCGCAGAAATAATCTCAGTGGAGGGGCAAGTCACAATAAATGATGTACAGTGTCAGTTTTCGATGCTTTTGCATGATATCTCAGTTATCTTTGGAGATAGAACCTTGCGGTTTTCGCGGTCCTGTGCTACTTTTTTGTGAAACTCAAGATGGCCTAATCAGATTTTGCAGGACTGTTTCCGTTTATGAGATACAGGGCGATTTTGAAAATTTATACTTTTTGGACCCCCTCTATATCTACGAAGTTTATCAGCGAAAATGTCAAATTAAAATCTTAACCCATAGAGAATTTTATGCAGAATTCAGTGGCGCACAAAAGTTTTTTTTTCGGGGTGTGGTTTTGAAAATACGACTCAAACTTATGATTTTTTAAATTGAACACCCTGTATTTTATAGGCTCATTAAATTCCTTATTTTTTCCCTTCGAAATGATATATGATGTATGAATATAACATCTTCAAAAATGTTGAAAAATCACTAAAACATTGAATTTTAATAGTGGGCTATGGGTTTTTCGAGGGATTTTCATATAAAGAAATTTACAATTGAAGGAATAATTCCTTTGATTGTTCCATGAAGGGGGAAATAACAATTTCAACACTAATTAACTTGCAATACACAAGACTCAGATACCTGATATCCACAAATATATTGTAATGAAAAGTTTAAAATGTAGAATAAGCACCTGATTGAATATTTACTAAAACAATTGAATTTCGAAATTATTCAGTAATTTATTCATTGAATAGTTCAAATTGATGTCCATTTTTCATCACAAACTTTCTCAATACATATTAATCATTGAAAGATGTCTTTGTAATTCCTGGAAAACTGCCTCTGTTGTTGCACAAAGTTCTTCAAATATGTTGGGCCACTCACTGTATTAAGATGTATTGAGAAAGTTGGTCAACTGTATATGGGGGAAAATGGATATCAATTTGAACATGTCAATGAATAAGTTACTGAATAATTCCGGAATTCAATTATTTTAGTAAATATTTAATCAGGTGCTTATTCTACATTATGAACTTTTTATTACTATTTATCTGTTGCTATCAGGTACTCAAGTTCAGTTTTTTGTTAATTAATAAGTGTTGATATTGGTTTTGACCTCTCCATGGAAAAATTTGAAGAAATATTTCTTCAATTGGAACGTTTTTTATAAGAAAAATCCATAACCAACTATCAAAATCCAATATTATAGTGATTTTGAGCAATTTTGAAAATTTTATATTCATTCTTCATGAATCATTTTGGAGACAAGAAAATTAGGAATTCAATGAGCTCATGAAATACAGGGTGTTCCATTTAAAAAATCATAAGTTTGAGTCGTATCTCCAGAATCATACCCCGAGAAAAAAATTTAAGTGCGCCACTGGATTATGCGTGAAATTCTCTATGCGATAAGATTTTGATTTGACATTTTTGTTGAGAAACTTCGTGGATATAGAGGGGGTCCAAAAAGTATAAATTTTCAAAATCGCCCTGTATCTCATAAACGGAAACAGTCTTGCAAAATCTGATTAGGCCATCTTGAGTTTCCCAAAAAAGTGGCCAAGGACCGCGAAAACCGCAAGGTTCTATCTCCAAAGATAACTGAGATATTATGCAAAAGCATCGAAAATTGGACACACTGTACATTATTCAGAACATATAAAAAAACTGTTTTTGCACGACCTATAAGCGATTTTACACCGGCAAAAGCGGGAATACAGGGTATACAGAGTAGGCACTTTCTAGGCTTAAATATTTTCCGGGATTTTTCTGGCAATAAATCTACCACTATGTTTGCAGCAGCTCCCTCAATAGTTTTTCCACAAATTCCTGCAATATTTATTGAGAAAACTTTGTAAAGCAATTAAGAAAATATGCTACCACACTTTTTCGATGTTCACCGAAAGCAATATGGCTACTCTTCTTTATCGGTAGTCATGACAATCAAACTTCATTTTGTGATTATTGTGTTCAGATTTTCATTATCATATTGACAACAATTGATTTTATCATAAGATTCTCTCACTTAAAATCGTCGATGGTATATAAACCACGGAAGTGAGTTCTTTTTTCCCTCAGTGCATTGTAGCACCCTCTGGCTACAAAACCACCTCTGGAAAAATCATGCACTTTACTCTCTCGATATATAATCTACTATTATTCTACATAAAACATGGAATAAAAAAAAAAGAATATTAATTGAATTGACATCACATAGGTATTCTGTTTACAGCCAAAATTACAATAAAAAATTGCACGTGATGATAATCATAATGTTGTTCAAACAAAAATGGCATTCTTATAGTCTTGAGCAAATTTATCAATAACTTCGTTGAAAAAATTAACTCTGTATATATCTATAAGATGTCGATGAATACTAATTAAACAAAGTCTCAGACAGTCACTATAATAAGCGCTAATCAGAATAGGAATTGAATAATGCAAATGTATCTTGTTTAGAAAGTATCTGATGAGTGAAGACCAGGCGCTAGGGGGGAGGGGGTGCCGGACGCCCCTGCTTTGGTCCAAGGTCCGTTATGCCCGTTTAAAAAAGTTACAAGCTCTTGAAGCCAAACGAGATAACCTCTACCAGAACAGCACATCCTGTGTTTAATATGGTTTTGGCTGATGATATATTTTTAAGTTGTCAAATAATGGTCATTCATGTTATGTCAGTAAAAGTCATTGAGCAAAAGCGTATCACTTTGTTCTTGAGTCCCTTGATGGAAATTGACGTTAAAGTCATCTTAACAGGGTACGGACAGATCCTCGTCTCCTCTCACTTTGAAGTGTTTGTGAAACAGTTATATAGTTCCATCCTTATTAAATTCTGGAGATAAACACTAAATTTTTGACATTTCTTGTTTTTTAGGTTATATTGAGGTCATTGGCGTATCATACGTAATTTCCATATGGAATTCCTGATTCAACTGTACCAAGATATAGTTGAACAATCCTCTAGTTTTATAGTTTACTACTCCATCATAATCTTTGCGAGGTAGGGAACATATAATTTGTACTGAAGACTGTTCTCAGACTGTGTACCAGGGTTGACTGAATGAATTCTGATTTCAAGCTGAGCAGTAGTTTAACTATGAGCTGAGCCTTATGATTGAGAAATGGTGAAAACCTCGATGTGGGTATCTGAACTACTGTACTCATGTCATGTGTGCTAAATATATTTTCGGACATCCAACTCGGAGAAAAATTTGTGGAGTGAGTAATTCTAGGACGAAAAGTAGGCTTATAAAAAGTAATATGTGAAATTGCAGGAAAATGAAGAATACAACATACTTTACCCCCATGTTATACATATGATTTTTCCGTCTCCCTTAGATAAAAAGTCATTTCCAAATAATTCATTGTAGAAAGTAACAAAGAAGTAGGTATACAGTATAACTTATGGGCACGTTATTTTCACTCTTGCATCATGCATATTTTCAATTTGTGGTAGAGTAATAATTATATGAACTAATGTTAAAAGTGCAGTTTTGAGCAGTGGTTATTTGAAAACCACTAGATGTGAGATCTGGAGCCAATGCAGTTTTCGTAATATTTTCATAAAAAACTTTACTGACCCACAATTTGGTTCGAAATATTTTGCTATTTTGTGAGAGATTGCTGCACATACCCTTCAGCGATATTCGTAGACTTCCAAGCAAGAATGTCTCCTCCAGAATTTGCAAGTAAACTTGCCGAGGTTCTTCTGAAACTATGCCCGGTATATTTTATGACATCAGGCAGTTTTAAAAATTCTGCAATTCGATGAACGATGAACGGACCGATGACAGATGTCAGTTGATGACAGGTGACAGATGACCGATGACGTGTGACAGTTGACGTATGAGTTGGATGAAAAATGAATACATATACAGTGTGTTCGGGACGAATGAATATCAGAAAAAACATATACAGAGCGACCTACAAAACCAGATCGAGGCCGATCAAAGATCTTGAACTGAATGAAATATCGAAAAACATATACAGGGTGGCCTAAAGAATCAGAGCCAGATCGAAATTGAAAAAAATGTACAGTGTGTTCGAGACCAATGAATATCAGAAAAAAATATATACAGAGCGATGACATATGACCGATGACAGATGGCAGTTGATGACCGGTGACAGATGACCGATGACGTGTAACAGTTGACGTATGAGTTGGATGAAAAATAAATACATATACAGTGTGTTCGGGACGAATGAATATCAGATAAAACATATACAGAGCGACCTACAAAACCAGAGGCAGATCAAATATCTTGAACCAAATGAAATATGGAAAAACATATACAGGGTGACCTAAAGAATCAGATCCAGATCAAAATCTTATTGATGGAAATAAAAAAATATACAGTGTGTTCGAGACGGATGAATATCAGAAAAAACATATACAGAGCGACCTACAAAACCAGAGGCACATAAAATATCTTGAACCAAATGGAATATTATAATTTATCACAGGGTGACCTGAAGAATCAGAGCCAGATCAAAATCTTATTGATGGAAATTGAAAAAATACTCAGTGCGTTTGAGCTGAATGAATATTAGAAATATCATATACAGAGCGAGCTGAATTCCAGAGGCAGATCAAATATCTTGTACCAAATGGAATATTATAATTTATTACAGGGTGAGCAGAAAAACCAGCGGCAGATTAAAATCTTATCGATGAATATTTAAAAAATACACAGTGTGTTTGAGACGAATGGATATTAGGAAAAAAACATACACAGAGAGACCTACAAAACCAACCCAGAGCGCAATATTGCAGTCCAACATTGAAATCACTTTCCCAAATTTATTTCTCTGTGAAGTTATTCTGTGAGTTTCAAAA